TAATAACTGTCACCTTTATGTATTTGATCCATTAATACGGATATAATGAGTACTTGATATATTGATATGGGTGTCCCTGTTACCTGTTACCGGTTACGTTCCAATATCAACATATAATTAAAAAGATTGACGATTGATTTGATGCTTTTTTTCTATTTCAAAATCACCTCTCTTGACTGCAAACTTTGCTGCCTTCATATATTTTATAAATAACTACGGATAAATTTACACTATATCGTGGAATACAAAGATAAAATTTTATAAATATAGTTTAATTTGCATTTCTAAACCATCTTATTCCTCTCTTTGACTGTAAACACTACCACCTTCATGTATTTGATCCATCAATACGGATATAATTAGTACTAGATTTCCTGATCAGGATGTCCCTGCTCAGGACCGTTAACGCTCACAGCTTAAGTTATAAACTATACGGCATATAACCATTCTTATAAGTCGTGGTTCTATTTCCTCAATTAATACAACCATTTAAATGACCTTATACACTGAACATGATCTTCCTTTAGTTTATAAATGTATAAATGAAAAATATCTACGCTATTTCCTGATAAGAATGTCCCAGATGAGGACCGTATACACTATAAGATGTAGTTATAAGATATCCAACTGTTATATCATGCTCCAAGTCCGGACGAGTTATCCTATCTTGACAGTCCTCACCAGCCCCGGTCCTGCTCAGCCCCGGTTCCAGTGAGAGACAGCACAGCTGTCTGACGCCACTCGTTAGGACGGCAGGCCACGATTTTGACACTTTTCAACGTAGACACGGGGAAATCAACTTGTTATACAATAGAGAATAGAGAAAACATTGCTTAATTGATTGGCCTTAATTCCATTTCATACACAGTGTAATTTAGAACGCGATGGTCAATCTATTGTTTTTCATCGACGGGGGCGAAGCGAGGTGTGAAAAGTTTACCTGGAATAAACAGTTGATCACCTCGGGCGATGTAGTTACCCGACCTATTGTTCAAATGTCCTGGTGTCAAACACGGACAACTTACCTGAGTTTTTACCTTATAAAATCCATTCCATGCATAGGAAAAGAATTATGATAAGCGACATTATAATACTAGTACAAAAAACCTCCTATAATATAGCAAAGATTTATTTTCACAACATAAAACAGTAAATATAGAAACACTATGTTATTAAATTGAATAAATGTGTAACAAGTTTGTAACAAACATGTCTTTCAATCCCTGTCTTAAACACACCGTATCATGTTTCATCAGTACTGATAAAATATCTTGTGATATTCTTGTTTGATGGAGTAAATAGCGCACTCCATCTTTTGCCGTTCATTATCTGTAAACAATTCATGGCTATTATCAAATATTATGTGTATTACCACGGAATTAGATTAGCCCGTGCTATCTAAGTCTTACAATATATAAGTCTCTGCTAGTATTTCTTTTAATTTTACTTGTGTTACAAAAGCGGCA